GAGCGATGTTTGCCGAGGCAGGTAGTGGTTGGAAAATGGCCAAGGGTGGTCAAGCTAAGACCAGGGGACTCAATTATATGGGTCGCGTTAGGCTCCCAGATTGGAAACACCGAGGTCATGGTAACTTGTGTTTAGAGACACTGAGTGATATGGTTGATTGTCGTACACCGTGGCTTTTGTGCATGTTCTCAATTTCTTCACAATCTAATCCACTGAATTTCTTCATTTTCTCTTCAACATAACTTTACTTCCCCCCCTTCTTTCTTCTACTACTTCTTCCAAATGGGGGCAGCTAAAACGTGGCCATCAGAACCGGTGCACGAATGTGCATGGTCGCATGGTTGTACAAACCGAATCTGTTTATGTGCTCGTTTGTTTATTGGATGTGTTTGTTAGGGTTTGTGGCCTATTCGGTTCGCATCCGGAAGCTGCTGCTGCTCTCGACGCATTTGCAAGCAGTCCTTTCCACTTTTTAGCACATCAATCCTAGGTTTCTGTGCGTGTGTGTGTGTTTGTGTGTTGGATCGTATTTCACACACACTCGATTTTCCGTATACAGTCATCACACAACACACTGTTTGTTTCGCAAACCGCATTTCATTGGATCAATCGTCTCACTTTCTTCGAAATCTCCGTAATCAGTAGTCAAGCGTAGCTTAGTGACCGGATCAACTGGCGGTCGTTTGTTTTCACCTCGGTTACGCGGTCATTCTCCTATGACTTTGCATTTCACTTTCCCCCGATCGGGTGTCCAGCTGGGGAAAGGGGATACGCTTGCCTAAATGAATATTTGTCCAGATTCTCACAGCTTTGTGATTTGAATGTTCACAATAATATGACAAAATCCCAGGGAGCATAATATAGATCAAGTAATTGAATGTTTTCATTCAATTAGTGTCTCATTTGAAGAGCGTGTGAGTCTAATCAACGTATTTGATCAACACCGTTTCGCGCATTGAAGATCCATATGAACTGCTTGCAATGGTAACTCGTACTTGTGCATATCCGAGTACAAAGGTCATGATCGACGGTTCGAATTGGTGGTCAAATTGTGAAAAACTGAAAATGCATTCGAAACATTCAAAGTCAAAGGTTTATTATAGGAATTGCTTACAAGCTCATACTTCTCTTGTCCCCATAAAATTTTTACATCGTTTAATGGTTTCTCGGTGAAAAAAATGTAAAAATGTCACATAGAGTTCCGGGTAGGAGATAGCAGATAAGGTAGTCTTCAGCGAATTCGCGTTTTTGTTTAGGTGTGTATGGACACGAGGTGTGCCAGGGTTTCATCAAATCTCCGTTTGAAAGATTCAACAGTTGGTGCACCAGCGACGCAAGATGGCAGATTGTTCCAAGTCCCGCACACTCTGGCTGAATAATATTGACGCCAGCATTCCAGTCAACACTTTGGAATCAGTAACTTGAAACAATGTCTCCTAAGATGTATGTTCGGTGACAACGTGAGCAGCAGCCGACGTGGATGGTTTGGGTTCTGCAGTATCTGATACGTCAGAATCAAGTCTCCTCGAATTCGGCGGTTCTGAGCAGAATATAGTCCCACTGATTGTAATCTCTCCTCATAGGCGATGTAATGTAATCCCTTGACCATGTTGACGTCAATCCTTTGTGGACGCTCCAGCATCTTACGATCACGTTATAACGATGGCCTCGAAGCTTGGCTGGCGTACTCTGTGTACGGTCGACTGTACACTGATAGGAAACGTGGGACTAGTGCTGATTCAAACTGACCAAGGACTCACCTAAGGAATCCAGCATTCTTCACAGCAGCCGACTAAGCCCTGGCTTATGTGATCAATGTATTCTGGTGAAAACACGTTGATCTGAAAATGTTTCGTAGTTGTATAAAAGTGTTGGCAAATGACAGCGTGAAACGGACGACAGAATTCACCTGAGTATAACTGAAGAGAAAAACAGATTATTTCCCTGATCGGGATCACCAAAAATCTGGAGAAAGCATGGCATTTGGAATAACTCAGAAGTAATCGTCTCACAGTTTGGTAACAGTTGTTGAAGAATAATCGAAGGATACAACCAACGTTTTTCTAATATTATTTAAACCGTTTATATTGCTGACCAGACAGTGCCCAACATATATCTATTCGAATTGAGAATGAAACTCTGGAAAATGTGATTCTAGACGGATAATAGATCATGAGAATGTTCTCTATTAGTTTTCAGCTCAGAAAAATGCTAGCAGTCGGAGGATATTGTACGACGAATGAAGCATTAACTGAAAAAGATTTCTGAATGATTATTGCACTGAAGTAATTCCAGAATTGACGGCTTCGAAATCAAGAGATTCGTGTATGCTTTTTTGATACGTTCAATGCTGTGTTTGAGCAAACGGCTATCAACAAATCTGTCGCAATCGATTTCGGTTTCAGTCATTCACTATATCCACACATAAACTGTACGATTCTCCGTGACTCCCCCACTGTTTGTTCCTCTTCTATTTCCTCCTCCCTCCTGAAAAAATCGTCCGTTTCACTTGTCACAATTTTTTTAAAACTGAATGCGCTTACGGCTCCGATTTTGATACCCCTTACCGACCAGGGAGTTCCAGTTAGGTGTGCGTTAGTGTTTGAATGAACTACACCTCCCACGGTATCAATTTGTTATGCAAATAGCTCAAGAACTTCGCCGAATCAATTTTCCTCAATGCATTCACGGCTCCCCACATTGAGACGTGACGTGACGTGACGTGCAATCGGATTCGAATCACATACACGATCAAAACACTCAGTGAATAAAATCGGATCATATTTGCGTTCTAATTTTGCCTCCGTGTATCAGCTCGTTCGGGTTCTGGCGTGGTCAGGCAATCTGTGGTCTGTTCCGACCCCCTCCTCCTCCACACACACACACGCCACACCACTGTCAGTATGTGTTGCTGTCCCTTGGGTCAGTTGCAGGTCTATTCTTTCGCCGTTCGGGTCGAGCGTCGTTTCCCAGACCACTAAATCGTCATTTCTCGTATCCGAACCGCAGCTACTCGAGACAATAAATTGTATCCGATTTTATGTGCAGCAAAGTAAACTATTCTGATTTTTTTTGTTTATCAAACGGACAGAATCGTTCACATTCCGTCTTTCATCAGCCTCCCAATTCAATGTCAAGCGGTGACAAGAAGATTGTTAGTTGTTTCCAAATCTATTCGAACCGAACTCCTCATTTCGACTGTGGGACTTCGTTGAAAAACAACGCACCGGATGATTCGTGTCCGATAGTTGAGGTAGAAGATGGTTCTGTGCAATGGTTAAATAGAACGCAGTTCTCAACTAGCATTATGCTCTGAATAGGATTATTCAACTAGAAATTGGTTTTGTTGTTCAAAATAGACAGTTTTTCACCAACTTGTGCTTCATCTCCCCCCACCCTTCGGGCCCTCATTCTTGCGCAGGCTGCTGAAAGCCGACGCGTCTCAGCTGTGGAGAGCCCGAAATCGAAAGTCCCCGATGATCGACCGATTGTCCCCGGGCGGCAGCGTCGTGCGGCCATTCGACCCTCACCCAAAGTGGCCCTCAACTTGTGGAGCATCATCAAAAATGGGATTGGCAAAGATCTCACGAAAATTCCCATCCCCGTAAGTTGAAGAGGATGCTTTGATTCACTCGATCCCCTTGTTTTCATCTTACGGAAGAATATTTTCAAAAAAGATCGCCTTCCGGTATTGTTTTCCTCGTCCAGATAGGAACTCCACAGATAGTGAGATAGAACATAACTGGGAACGAAAATCATGGTACTCTATAGGAAAGAGCGAGGACAGAGGGAATGCATATAACAAACAATTGGTTGATTGGATTGCTGTCAACCATCTTGATTGGATAATGGTTCCGACCAATCACCCAAGTTGTTCTATCGGTGTTCTGATTGGTTGTCCCAGAACAAAGCAGTTTTCAGACTCCCTAATAGCCCTTATCTCCGGGGAACGGTTCGTTCTTGTTCGTTCGCCGCGACGCATCTCGATAAAGTGGTCGTTGTTTTTTGTTTTATGCGAATTCGTTACGCGGAAACTGTACTTGCAATTTGTGCGAACTGTCATTTTTGTGATAATGTCAACGAGTAAATGATGACGACGACGATGAACAAGTTTGCTCTGAGTGCTTCGTCTACCGGTCCATTACCGCGCGTTATTGAACTTGGAGAACAGTGTATAGCGGTGATAGGTTAAGATTGTTTGTGTGTTAAAAAAGGCAGGCGAAGGACGTGAATGTGTAAATACCGATAGTATACTTGATAGTATCAATTGAAGAGAGTGAATTTTCAACTAGAATCTTAGATCGGGACATCGACTACGAGGACAAATATGGCTAAGGGATTTTATGAACTCTCGTAGGGTACAGTGGAGGACAGTTGTGTGGTCTATTTGTTAGCACGTCCACTGTAGATGAATGACATTCTTGAACGGGATCCATGTGGTTGAATAGATCGAACGGAACGACCCGCATTGAAACATTTGAATTCGTTTGGCCAAGAGGATAGCAACCGTAATTACATCTGTCCTTAACAATTGTCGGCGAGACCGATCTGAGCGGTGTTCTGTAATTCGATCGATCAGCGTTACTTGTGCCATCGGACTGAGTAGACTGGTAAACACTGAAAAGAAGTCATCTTCATCACTAGCCCTTATTCTTTACCAGTGACTGGAGAATTGATTTTGCTAAAGTTAAGAAAGTGTAATTCCTACTACGTTTTGAAAGTATTTACTCATGGTTTTCACAGGTGTCTCTACTTCATATTTGCTTTTGTAAATTCACACTCTGTAATTAGCTATTTTCATTTACGCGGTCAGTGATCGTACACTTACATCTGACCCCATACACTCCCATTTTGAACATACTAACGATCTAATCTCCGATCTACCTACGCTGTTCCTCGAGTTACATGACAAATTGGGTCACTCTTACGTCTAAACATTGACCTGTAACGTGTTTATTTGNTATTTGTAAAAGATGTCAGTGCTTTATTCATTCACTTCTGGAAAGTAGGCCGATGCGTGATTCAGTCGCGCATGGTCTGATTTGTGGATCGCAGATTGGGCTGCTTGACTACTGCACACAATAGTTCAGCAGATCATCACAGAGAGAACAAGTTCGAAATACTTGTTTATTTTTTATATACTCCCAAGGGAACTAGATAAGAACGGGCTGGCCTTGTGCATACATCTCCGAGGATTTGGGCGTATGTGTGTAATCCGACACAAACACGCATTGCGACCTGCCGCGCAGCGGGTGTTGGGGGTGATAGTCTTGTTTTGTGGCATCATTTGCCACATTTGTTCACGACATCGCACCCAATACGGAAATTTGTACTGCGCTTGCTAGCCGAGAACCCGCTACGTCCTCGGTTATCGGTCGCTGATTGTCCGATACTACTTATTCTGATGAGAGAGTGTGTAGGTTTTGTGTTTCAGAGTTAAAAAAGTTAAACACCCTCCCACTTCCAACGAGTTCTTGTTGATTGACTCTGTATGCGTGCCGATATAAAATTGGATTAATTGGGTTAGTGTTAAGGCGTGATAAATAAATAAATGTTCGTTTTTTTTACTTTGTGTTCCTGTTTATTAATAATATGAATGTATAATAAACAATCAAGAAGAAGGCCGTGACCTTACAAAGCCTGTCTGTGAAAAGAGAAATCGGTAAGATTGGCCCGTGGTGAAGTTCGAAATCAGGATCGGTTTGACGATCTGATCCATCGATCAGCGCCGCCCAGACTTGTTCATCGTGAAACAAGACCTACTTACTCAATACTGATGCGGATAAAGTGGATGAGATAATCGTTGTTTTGGACCCGCTGGAGTGTTGTCATTAGCAATAAATTTCTTTCCTGAAACCGTTGGTGGACACGAGGATCCATTTAGGAAATTGTCTCATTTCGCTCCCTAATGGGTCGTGATGTTATAATACAGGAACAAAGAGTTTTGAATAAAAGCGGTTAAGATATTGCGAGCAGAATTGATATCGATCTAAGCACTTCGTCTTGGAATTCAAGTCGAATGGAAATCATATTCACTGGAGAACAGTTATTGTGGTCGATGATATTTTATTTTAGGCTCAGCTTAGCTTTTGATTCCGTCGTTCAGTCCCTTCCGGGCACGTTGATTATTATCGGTATTGTTTACTGACGCCGTCCTGGCATATCTCTCAGTCCTCTTCGTTCCTCCACTGATCCCGTACAACGCACATATGTATACAAACAATCTCATCTCTGATTTGAAATCTGGCAATATCCAACCGCCAAATCGGGCACCGTTTATATCTGACTGCCCCAGTCAGTGATGCTTGTGCATCTACTCACTAGTCTTACAACCCCAGTCCGTATGAGTTCTCTATCTTCCCGTTGAATTTTCTCTCAATATCCCAATCTGCATTCTGCTTTTTTTTATATCCAAATGGGCTGCCCCAAAGACAGCAACCATAATCGATGCACAAAAGTGCATGGTTGATGGTGGCGAAAAAAAATGGAAATCGTATATCCGCAACCACTCGCCCACAAATAATCTTGATTGTTGATCTTTCTCGGGAAATTGCATTCCTTTCTCCCTCTCTCTCACTCACTCACGAATTCACCATCCTTGTGCACATGCGTAACTGTCATTCTTCCTGAAAATTTGATTGTCACTAATCACACAACAGTGTCAAACTGTCCACATCACGAAGCGCTAACACAACTATTCTGTCAGCCATATGTGCGTGTGGATGGATGGGTTTCATATCCGGTTCCGTGATGCACCATCCAACTTTCGTACGTGATGACTTTCAGTAACATTTTCACCACTCACTCCGAAATTCACCAAGGCCATATCCTCTTTAAAAATGTTTTCAAAAAGTCTTTTTGCTTCTTTTTTCTATTTATTGAATATAAAAATGTACCGTCCACTTTCAGGAAGGCGGACTACGGCCATACAAAAGCTGTCTGGGGAAAATACAGATATGTAGGGAAGACGGGTTGCGGTGGAGCGGTTTGAACATGGGACACCCAGGTCACTACTAATTGATGACCTAACCACTTGGCCACCACCGCCCGTGTATATGAGGATCTGTTTCAAACGAGATGAGGCTAAAACCGGAATATCTCGTCTTCCGATACCAGGCCCCGGAATGAACGCATCATGCCTTACTAGATTGGAGAAATCCGTTCGGGCATATCGTGGATTTATCCGGACTAATATGACTATGGACAAGGTGATAATGATACCTCCAATCGAATTCAATGTGCCCGCAGACGGAGCATCAATGAGAATGTGCGACCATATCCCACAAATCTCTGGTCATGGACGGGGGAAAATACCACCAAATGTGAATGTACGCTAACCGTGTCGCCACAACAAAACCATTTTGGCTCAATTATATAAGACCTTGAAGGTCACACACATGTTGCCATTTCTACAATGGATAACTGTTCACAGGTTGAGACATTTGTGAGACCAGTGTTGATAATACCGTGCTAATGGTTAGTTACATCACGCCTGACACCACCTTACATCATGCGTAGAGGAATACCCTACTCTACCCCCCCCCCCTCCTCCTCCTCCTCC